AGCGGAAGGAGGGGAGATCCGGGATCACCCGGATCTCTGGGGGTAGTTCGTTCCAGAGGGTGGGGGCTCCCACCGAGAAGGCCCTCCCCCTGGAGGTCGCCAGCCGGCACTGTCTGGCTGACGGCACCCTGAGGAGGCCCACTCTGTGGGAGCGTACCGGCCGATGGGAGGTAATCTGCGGCAGATTTGTCCTGCTTAGTTGCAGAGTCCACTTATTTTTCACTGTACTCACCACAGTGAAACACCAAAGCGATCACAGCATAATGTAATGAGGAAGCTGGTTTTCAGCTGGTTCTTGCAGACCTGATGCCAAATAGGGTTGAGAGGGAGTGTCTGGCCTTCAAACCAAGAACTAGAACAGTGATGGCGAACCTTTTAGAGACCGAGTGCCCAAAAACGGGCCCCGCCCCTGCTCCACCTCCCTGCCCCGCCCCTGCTCTGCCCCCCACCCATCCTGCCTGCCCACAGGACCAATCACCACCTCCAGGGCCCGCCGCAGATCGCCCAGGCAGCCCAGCAGCGCTATGGGGGCCACACCCTCTGCCCGCGCCCTGCAGCATCAACTGCATGATGGGGTATGAGGGCAGAGTCTTGTCTTACGCTGCCTGGCTGCCATGTCCTTGGCTGCGCTGCTCCATGTGGACCACGCTCGGGGACGACTCTCCTTCAGGGGGGCTGCTGGAAAGGAGGGGGTCGTGGGGGGAGGCAAGGCTGGGGCAATGGCACGTGTGCCCACAGAGAGGGCTCCGAGTGCCGCCTCTGGCACCCATGTCATAGGTTCGCCACCACTGGACTAGAATATGGGTCTCTCCATGCCCAATCCAGCACCTTAACCACTGTACTACACTGGCTCTCCAGATTAGTTTTGTTTACTTCTGCTTTCAAAGTATAATTATATTAGTATATATATATATATATATCTATTCATGCTCAACATAGAATAACTTAACCATCATCAATTCATCTTTTTGTAGTCATAGCAAATACCTGAATCCCCACTCATTGCTTGCCTGGCTTCTTTCCTAATAATTATGTACCGTTTTTTCTTTTCCAGAGGAACCTAGAAAATATAAAAAGCTTTCAGGTATGAATGTGACTGCCGCTTAATTACAAATTTAATATATTTACAGAATTTATAAATAAACCAAGAAAAAGTACAACAAGGAATTCTGTGGCAACTTAAACATTAACATGTATGATTGCACTATCCACTTTATTTCTAGAGAAATAAAGAGACATGCCAAATAGTCATGCTCTAAAAAGTAGAGAACCTGGTTAGATAAAATTTGGTTTCATTTACCTAACAGAGAGATTACCCTCCACTTTTTATTTAATTTTTGTCACATTAAAAATGACCCCTTTGTACGTTTTTGGGGCACTACATAATCATCATAGGGGCTAAATCTGTGCATCACTATTGTAAGAACTTGCCTACATATTCATGTTGTTTAAGGCAGAGGTCCCCAATTTCCAGTCCACGCCCCGGTACTGGGCTGCGGCCTATTAAGAAACAGGCCATGCAAGCGGCAGGCGAGAATGTACATGAAACTCCATCTGTGCAAATGGTAGGCACACACACAAAACCATCCCCTCTCCCCCCACCCTCCACCCCGCTGGTCCACAGAACTGGAAAGTGGGGACCATGGGTTTAAGATAAGACAAGGTTTAGACTCCACCATGCCAAAATTGAACTTGGAATTCATCATATTCCATATCAAGTGGTTCAGTAAAACAGCAGCCAGCAAAAAACAAAAACAAAAAACTAGTCTAACATTTGCCAAAGGAAACACTTCATTCATAGCACTATAGAGTTATATAAGAATACTAATTCAAGGAGGTATACTTTGATATTTGTCTTCAGTTTAGACTCCTTAAGCTTACTGTAGAACTTTTATAATTGGAAAATGTTTTCTCAATAACTTTATCTGGGAACATTAAATTCTTATATTATCTATATCACAATCTAGTATCATGCTAGATAAAACCAATTACCATTTTGGAAAATCTAGGAAATAAGATTTCTTACCTCAATCTCTATGGGAAATGAATAATGCCGCTGTAAATCTAACAAGTTTTCAAAAATAAGCAGATTCTGTAGAACAAAAACAAATTGTAATCTGGTCACCATGCATTTACTTTTATTACAAACATTTCTTTTATTTATTTATAATACATCATTACTACTCAATATGCAACCTAGGCAGGCATATACAATTTTTAAAAAGCAATTATTACATACAAAAATAAATATAAGAATACAATATAACACAGCATATTGTGTCAAAGGCAGTTCAAACACCAAAGACAATCACTCAAGACTAGCTCATAAGACCTCTTGATTCAATGGCTAGGGGAAACCAAGAGTTAGCACGAGTTTGATTTTCCAGGGAATGGTGTTCCATAGCAGTTGTTGTACTAGAGATGGAACATCTCCTAGTTCCCACATGACAGGTAGAGGTAACTGGAGAAAAGCAGTAATTGTGTTACACAGGCATACCAAGGTGTACCCATAATTACCCACACTGTTGTACTCAGGATTATTTATAGCTTCTGAGTGTTCGCTAAGGGCATCTCAATAGAGAATGCATCATGGTAATCCAAATGAAAGATGAACAAGGCATGTATGACCATCAGTAAAGCCTCCAGATTAAGGAATGAGCAGTTCATGCACAATTTGTGGGAACACCCTGTGAGCTATGGATAACAGCAGGATGAATTTAGGAAGACCTTCAGTCTGTCTGGAGCAATAAGACTTCATCCAGGACAAATGATGGGAAAATTCTGGATTCAGGAAGCCTCAAAATCCAAGGCCGCTTATACTTTATAGGACTGAGTCTGATTCATTTCCTTCTCATCCAGTTTCCTCACAGTCTTTCTACAAAGAAGCTTGATGGCATTATTTGGACAAGCGAGGGCTGATATGTACAACATCAGAACACTGATATATAACCTCATATAAGGGATGACATAACCAAGAAGCCTCATTTATATATTAAACAGGAGTGGAGAGAACTGAACCATGGGGTCCCCCACAGAGTAAGAGTTGGGGACAAGCTCACTATCAAAAATGTCTGGAACCAATATTAGAGAAAGGAGGAAAGCCACTGTAATACCATCTTTCCCATTTCCAAATCTCCCAAACCAGCCCAGAAAGATATCATGATCAATGGTATTTCAGGTAGCATATGCTAGATTTTGTATTATTCTACCTATTGACAAGAGCATAAGTCAACCAATTTTGGAAGATGAAGGTGATTTTTATTATGAAAATATTTTAACATTGTATCCACTCATCTTGTCCATTTATTTATTTGTTCACTCATTCTATTTATATAGTTTTCAATTCAACTGCATAACTCTGCATGACTTACAGCAATTTAAAAACTGCAAAAAAGCAATATACTCAAACTACATAAAATATAAAAAATTAACACAAATTAATATTAACAAAATGCATAGGCAGGGTCTAAAAAAATCTATTTCTCAACATAACCATTGTATAGGCTGTTGACCACCTTTCTACATCAAAATTCCATCTTGGAACTAATTTCTGTTTACTATTACGTACTTTGTCTGGTTTTTCAGTGAACAGAAAACCTTGATAGAATTTACTTTCATTGAAGACACAGCTGATAACTGCAATGGCACAATTATATGCAGCACAATGAAACTGTCTCCTCTTTTCCAACATTTGTGTTTCGCCCGACATGTTTTCTGTAAAGGCATCATAACAGGACCTTGGAAGGAAGTAGAAAAAAAAGATTCCAAGACATTTTAAAGAAAATTGTGTGTACTCTTCCCAAATCTGCTACCCTGTGTATGTATGCACTGCAACTCCTAATACATCTGAACAACATCAGGGCTATTAGTTGAGATCTAATTTGCTGGATGAATACATTCCAGCAAATACCAAACTGAAGTTGTAGTCTAGCTTTAGTTGATATCTATTTGGTTTATATGCCATTCCAATCATAATCAACCTCTGTCTACGGTGTGTTCTATTTATATAAATAAGGCTAAAAGATACAAAGTGTAAAACATAAATAATACAAAGTAAAGGACAAGGCCAACGGAAAAATAAAAGTGTACATTCATTAATCTCCAAACTGCAGAGGGCAGCAGTTTGTAACTCATCCTAGAGTCTTTTGAAAAAGCCATATTTTGATGGCCTTTTTTGAAATCTTCATCTTGTGTGCCTGAAAAGGATTCAGACCAAGAGTAAAATATTCTTTTATTGAATTGCTAACCTAAATAAACTTATGAAGGAAAGCAACATAATTTTATTTAAGATTTTCAGGATAAACCTTTAAGATCAAGAAAGAAATGTGAATTTTCATCTAAATAAGTAGGAAAAGTTTATTAAGTGTTTATCATTATTAATAGTGTAAGACTGCTTGTCCATGTAGCTACCATGACACTTTTAAGGCAATAATCTCAAAATATTTTTTAATGACTATGATAATCAAATTAATTATTGGCAACATTATTTTAAAGCATAAATGAACAATTCTCACTTTATAAGTGTTTTTGTAAGTTCATTCCCCTCTACGTGGATGGAATGCTGAAAAGCTTGGTTAATTCTGGAATCTTTGGAATATACATCTTCTTTGGATAGACGGGAGTACATAACTTCTAGAATCTTGTAATAGCTTATTTTCTTGATTAGCTGTGTTTCAAAAGCAGTTTCATTCGACTGGAAAAATATATTAATGGAACAAAATGTCAAAGGAGCTTCATGCATGAATATGTATTTTATTTTTTTAAAAAAAATAATATAATGATTTAGTAATCATTCATCTTTACCTTCGTAAACCTGGACTTCAGGGTATCCATGGCCTCTGTGATAATCTTACTCAGAAATTCTTTCAATGCACCTAAGCTGCAGTGAAGCAACAGAATGAGAAGACATCGATCTACATAGGCTTGACGGGTTATATTTGAGAGAAGGGTTTCGCTCTGGAACATCTGATGCACGGTATCCAACAACAGCACTTGCCTTTCACAGCTGCCCCTAAACATCACAATAAATTTAAGTAGAATCTTCAGCTACTTTCCTACTTATAAATTATATGTTATCCACAATCTTTTAGTGAATTCTTTCTAAAGCAGTGGCTTGGTTAAGTTATCATGAAATAAGTAGACACATAAATTTTTGACAAAAGTAACTTAACTAATGCTACAAACCAATCTATCTTTCTATGTATCTGAGACAATCTCCAACAAAATGTCATAACCACCACCCACATTACTGCTATAAGAAATCATATGTGCTGTGCCTTCTTCAGTAAGAGTATCTTCGATACGAAAGCAAAATGAATTACATACAAACACATACAAAATATATGTCTGAATTTCAATGCGTACGCATGGCATATCAGCTGTCATTGTTCACATTTTAAGCCTTTAATGTATTACTGAACTCTTGTTTTTTAATCATGCTGTTAATATAATGTGATTAAGGATTATGTTTTACTGACTACCTTTTGGAAATTCTTTTGAAGTTAATCTCAAATAATTCCTCCATTATATGCTTATGGTCTCTACAAAGAATTTCTGTCATCAGCGCCAATAATGTAGAATTCTGGGATAGTTCTAAGGCATCTAAAAACTAAAATATAAAAGAATAATTGTGCAGTTAGAGAATATGATAGAGGAAGCTAGTAAGATTGCAAAGTTTTGTGTTCCAAACTTTCTCTGAAACCAGTTATGAGGCAGTAACAGCTCTTTAAAAAAAAGAAAAAAATATTTTAGTCCAATAAACATACAATGTGCTTACATACAATCACACACACATAAGCACATTCATAACTTCATTTACATAAAGGTAGTGTGCCTACAATATACATGATTAAAAGAGAAAAAAATAGACAGGACTGTTTCCATATATTAAAATGTATTCTTAAGACTTATATATAAAATTATTTTTGTTTCTGGTATGTTTAGTAAAACATTGATTGATTTGGATGGCCACCTCACTTTGGGTGCTAACAGCCTTTAAAATTAAAATACAAACAAATACAAACATGAAATCCTTAAAAAATTAAGGAATTTAGAATTTTAAGGTTATGTTAATTATGTTAACTAACAATTATAATTTCTAAAAATATAAAAATATTTAACAATTACACATGAAATTTAGGTAATTAAGGTATACATTAAAATAATTTCTCTGTATAATAATATTACATATTGTGTTCATTCCTATAGTTCACAGATTTGTTTGCTTTATTTTAATTTGGCTTAGAGTTAGTAATATGCTAGAAACACATAAATTATGTAATAAATTGTTCTAGTTTTTGTTCACTTACTTTTTTTATGCAGTCCACATAGTTATTGTACTTTAAAGATCCCTTAGGAAATTCATCTGACTTCAAAGGGAAATTAAACGCTACAAGTTGATCTAGTGCATTTTTAAGGCTATCAAGTCTTTCTCCCACAAGATTAGTGAAGAATGGCAGAATAATAATTGCTTGACTCTGAAATATAAACAATTTACAACGTTTCATGTTAAATCTAAAATTGTTTTGTCTTTTGGGAAACTTTGGTAGAAAAAAATAACACACAACAAGATAAAGAGTGGCAAATTCTGCTAAGATTAGGGTTAAGCAATTTTTACACTAAAATCTGAAAATGTTTTAAATTTTAATTCTTTGATTAATTACAAATTCTGAATAGCATTTGGACCAATGTAAGCTATAAACATTTAAGATTTAGTAGGGAAAACAAGGTATAAAAGCAGCAGGCTACCCCATAATCTTTGCTCAGATGTAACAAATGATAGTTTGTGAAGCCTAGTTGTCTTGTACGTTTGATCATTACCCACACAAACAAATCATAACCTGAAATTGCCTTGGCAACCTTAGCTTTAGTAATTGTAGAGTATGTTGTTTCTTCCAAAACTGCTGTTCTTACTTTTTAATTAAATGCTGAGAAATGTAGATTACAGAGGACAGCTGAAACCACTCTTATGGTCTTGCAGATATTTTTGTAGAAATCTTTAACTCTGTTAATTCTACCTAATAGTCAGAGATTTTTCTCATTTTCTTCCCTGCTGACAACATATTCTCTTCAGTTTATCTACCAGCAATAGATTACATGGGGTTAGGTTTCATGTACTCAAAAATAGTCCTCAATACAGATATCCACAGTAAACATATCGATATTTACCCTTAAATGATGATACTGGCATAATTTCTATGAAGCATCCTCAGACTTACCCAAAGTCATTGAGTCAGGCAGCATTAAATAACAGTAATAATAATTCTCACTGCAGCTCAATGTTTCTAGCTAATCACACATTTGAATAAAGCTAAATGGCCACTGTATGCAACACATTATTTACTTATAGTAATAAGCAGGCATTATTACTATAAGGCACTTACCTTGAGATTTAGACCCAACTTCTGATCGGTAAGTAGACATGTGTATGTATTAAAAACATGGGAAAATGCCTCATGATGAGTAAATGACATCGAAGAGTCGATCTTGAAAACATAAAGGAACTTATCTTTTAAAATATACCTACAGAATAGTAATCTGATAGTAAGCCACAGCATTTCCTAAAACAAAATTATTGAAATTTTCCATGTTTTTTTGTATACGTTTGTGTGTGTGTGTGTGTGTGTGTGTGTGTGTGTGTGTGTGTGTATGTGCTGAAAGTAAATCTGTATTAAGGAAAGTTTATATTACCTGTTTTATATTTCTGTATACAATATATTTGTATATTTTTGTGTCATGCAGAGCTCTTAAGAGCGCTCACGTTAATTAAATTAACAAATGCAAAAAACAGCATCATAATACCTATTAAAATCAAAGCATTCTTTTGAACAATTATAATAACAAATTTATTATTTAATTTCATATTAGTCCCAATTTTAAATATATGCAGACAAGTAACAAACGCTCTCCATTATAAAATGAGGTTGGATAACTATAAACCACATTACCAATCTGACAGAAGATTTGAGTCATTTTTGTTCATAGTGCAGGAAAAGTTGGCAATTTCAACTGTAAAACATCTATCGTATAAGTATAGTTAATATGGGGAGTGATGCTGCAATATTTATAAAAGTGCAATAAATATTGAGCCATATCCCATATATATTGAGATACTTGGAAAGGTGGACTGAAGATCAACATGCTACAGCTATAATATAGCAATTTATACGCACACAGGAATAAATACATTTAAATAAATATATGACTAATACTTCTGACCACACTGAACATTTTTACCTTTTTTAAGCATCCAGGATTCTCTCAAGGTATCCTGATGTAACTAAAGTCTTACCTAGACAACACAAGTAATCTCAGTTTTCATGTGTTCTCAACCCAGACCTATTGTTAGGCGTTTTGTTAGGATGAGAGACCCCTTTATCAAGATTGCAAGCATAGCAAATGTAAAATTAATGTGATGTGCAGTTCCTAGTATGGTTGTGGGATGCTGCTTTTATCTTGTAACACTGTCTTGAAATGATGTTACAACCAATTACAACATGAAACCAAACATGGAAAAGGAAGAAACAAAGCTACATTAATGAATAGCTATAGCAATAATTATTATTCCAAATTCAATTTTGATATTATATCTCTAGGAAAATGACCCAGAGGATGGATGGATGGATGGATGGATGGATGGATGGATGGATGGACGGACGGACGGACGGACAGACAGACAGACAGATAGATTTACCTGCAGAACTTTAGCCAATAGGGTCAAAACACACATTTTGCTCTCAGGAGAAGATTCTTTAGACCACCAGTGATCAAGATGTCCCCAATTTTTTAAAATAGCAGCTACTAGTTGTACTCCTTGTTGTTTGCAGGTAGCGCGGTCTTTAAAGCTTTGATCCAACATGCCATTCAAAACTGTACTAACCTGAAATGTAGGATATTGAAAATATGCAATATTGACAGCACTTTATGTAATTCAACTTTTATACTGTGGAACAAAGACACAAAATGTGCAAGATAAGCAATTAATAAGTACATTTTTGAGATGATTTTCTTAAATGCTAGAAAGTATACTTCTAAGAAACTAAGAATATAAAGTCAGAATGTTCTAGCCCAGGGGTAGGCAACCTTGGCTCTTTCATGACTCGTGGACTTCAACTCCCAGAATTCCTGAGCCAGCATGGCTGGCTCAGGAATTCTGGGAGTTGAAGTCCACGAGTCATGAAAGAGCCAAGGTTGCCTACCCCTGTTCTAGCCTGTTTAAAAACATCCCTTACTTGTAGAGTAGTAACAAGAAGATCTAGTAGTAGATCTGATCTATTTATCTAAAAATAGATGTGGTGTTCAAGGTAAAAGTAACAAAAAGCTAAAAAAAGTTATGATTAAAAATAGTAACGAATGAAAAACAAATAATTCAACAGAAATAAAATCAGCAAGGAATCAGTGATAAAACAGAAGGATAACTAAAATACAGTTTCAATGTGAATTTTTTGGGAAATACAATCTAAAAAATAAATATGCTAGCATATTTTAAAGGAACATTTTAAAATTTTAAACATTTTAAAGGAAAAGTCCAGTACCATTTTGGGGCTATCTAAAGCTGATTTCATAAGCTCAAGTACAGCAATTTCCAGATTTTTCAACAACTCTTGGTTAATGATTTCTAAGAAGAGACTGTAGAAATATTCCCCATGAGAAAAGTTGATGAGACTTTCTTGGGCTGTCCCAGACAATGGTACAGATAACATCAATGTGTTCAACAAGAGGCTCACCAGCTCTGTGCACTAAGGGAAACAAATACAAAAGAGCATTTCCTGTCATTCAACTTTTCCCATGTACCTTCTTAGTCAAAAAATACAAATACAAAATAATACAAGATTTCCAATGAGAACCATAAATCTTTTCTATTTGAACAGAGGCAAATATCCTTTGGTGAGATGAGGAATAGTAACCCACAGCAATTGCTTTGTTCTTCTTGAAATAATGATTTCTAATGATACCTAAGCACTAATCTTACAATGGTAGAAATGAAAGCAGGCACCCAGATGGCACATCTACAAATGTCTTTCATCGATTGTGCTGTTTTCATTTTTTGGGGATATTTAGGTTCACAGAATGGGGAGGTTACCCAGTTCTTCCAAGTGGAACAGGATACTGATGACAACATAGTAGGTTGCAACTGTCTAACAAAGCAAGCTGCTTTTGGCAACAGTCACGATTTCTTGAAGATCTACCAGCAAATTAATTCCTCTCTTGTTTGCTGCTGTTGTCATGCTATCTTTCTTTCCTCAATGAACTAAGCTTGGAAATAGGAAGGCAAAGAAGAAAAGGTCTCCTGACTACTTGACGTTCAGATGCAGAACTGCAGAATGGAAATTCTAAGGGTCTTCTGTATGCAGTTCTGCCTCTCTATGTCAATCAAAAGAATTCACTCTATCCAGAACCACTAACTTGGGTGGTGGCCTATACAAGTGACAGCGATCAGCAAATGGAAGGTTTCTTAAATACTTGTAAACTCCAAGGAAGAGACAGAGAAGAAAAGAGACAGATAGCACCAATAAGGCCAAATCCTTACCCGAACACCAAAAGCAAAAGCCAGATGCAGAAGTCCCTCAGCTAATTGTTTACTGCTGATGTCTAATGAAGGAAGGGACCTTCTTTCATCTCCTGGTGCAATACCTTTGTACACTACCAACATGAGCTTAGAACCAATTTCAAAATGTAGATCTGCACCCTTTGGGGAGAGAAAAACAATAAAACATTTGACTAAAAGCATATTTATAATTAAGCAATTAAAGAAAGGCCATCTAAAGTTACAAAAAGTCCTTACAGTCTTTATCATTATTAAAAAAACTAGAGATTCTTCTTAAACTGAATAACTGATGAAAAACAATGGCTTTCCTCCAATCCATGACATCCCCAAACCATTAAGAATGAGAACTGCATCATTTAGATGCCCCTAAAAGAGCAATACATATTATAACAGTTACAAACACTTCAACATGAACAAAAATATTCAGTAAAACCCACAGTGTGGATTCAGATACTTAGCACTGAGCGAATGTATCTAACAGTGAGCAAAACTATAAATGTTTCCCCATACTAATGAAGGAACACAATAGTCGGTAAGTGATGAATGCCTAATGTTCAGCGACTAACAAACATGTTACATTGGCATGATAGACATGTGAAGTCCTATTTATTCTCTTTTACTTTGCAAGTATACTGATGACAATATAAACAGCAACATATATTTTTACCTTAGACTGCAAAATACAGTACAATAAACCAGCCTTGTGAAGCTGTCTGCAGGCAGAAAGAATGGATACATATCTAACGTGATCCAGCCGGGCTTCTGGGTTGTACAAATCAACAGTGCAAAGCTCTTCAATGCTAACAAATAGAAATAAATAAATAATAAATGTATATCAGACACATTAAATGTCACACTAAAAATTATTTGTATTTTTAAATATTAATATTAGAATAGACTCTAAAGTGTCTTACCTTTTCATTGTTATTATTTCTTTGATACTGTTCTCTAAATATTCATTATAGGGAGATTTCATCAAAGCTTTTACTAGTCTCACGCAAATATTTGGTAGATTTTCCATAATTTGTACATCAGCTATATTAAAGCCTACACTTTTGGGGTCACAAATAGTTTTCACAACAAGTTTTATTAGATTCTCATTAAGCAGCTCTTTCTCAAGCAGCTAGAAATAATAAGATAAAAATGAGATAGACAAGTACTTTTAATTTGAAAAATTTATCATTTACATTTATTTT